TCCCTTCCCTTATATCATGGACTCTCTTTTTTGGTGGGGGAGTTCTGGGCATAGAACTCAGGGGCACTCGACCACTGAGTTACATTCCCAGCCCTATTTTATATTTTATTTAGAGACAGAGTTTCCTGAGTTGCTTAGCACTTCGCTTTTGCTGAAGCTGGCTTTGAACTCCTGATCCTCCTGCCTCAACCTCCTGAGATGCTGGGATTATAGGAATGCACCACTGTGCCTGGCACATTATGGACTCTTGGATTAAAAGGTGCTTTATTTTTTATAGGTGCTTAACTCAGCAATAAGCACTGGAAAAGAATTTCAATCAAGTTCAGTTTCCTTGCCCTTAGCCAGGAAAAAAACAAGTTTCATTTCATATGAGATCCAAAGTGGTTAGGTGGCTGGCTGATGGCCCTGTGTCTGATTTTCTATGGTGCAAACTAGAGTCTTTGTCTCCTGTCTACAAAAACAAGGCCTTGTCTACAGCATCTCACAACCAGGATAAGAGGTTTCAGAGAAGACTTCTCCCCATCCAAGGTAGGCCTACTTGAATATTGCTAGGTAGTTCTTAAAGGTGAAAATTATGTTAATGATCATGATCACCCAACTTCAATTTGGTTGGTTCAGAATGAGAAATTGCAGGACATTTTCATTTAGTCAGAAAATAAACTGTTTTTTGGAAGAAATTAGAGGGGGGAAACTGACATACTTATTTTGTAATGAGAAAGTTAAAACAAACATTTATAGGGCTTCTTAATTAATCAAATGTGCACACATTCAATGAATAAGTGTAGACAACCTTGATTCTTTTTTTGTTTGTTTGTTTGTTTATCACAAAAGAATACATTTGGAAGAAAGCTTTCAAAACTTTTTGGGTGTAGAAAGGGGACAAATTTGGCATTTAACTTTAGTAAATGTGGGGAGAAAGAAATAAAATATCCACCATGAAAACCATCTGTTCCTTTACCAATTAAATCTGTGTGCTTGGTAGATGTGTCACCTATTCCACCTGCAGAAGATGCCTGTGAATTTGTGTCTCTCCTTTGGATTCAACTTGTCTTTCACAGCAAGAACCACTGAATCAGTCAGGTTAAGTTTGTTTTCCATTAGCAGGTAAGTCTGTTTTCCATTGTCATGTAGATTTAGGCTTACACCTATAATCCCAACAGCCTTGGAGGCTGAGGCAGGATCGCAGATTTAAAACCAGCCTCAGCAACTTAGCAAGGCTCTAAGCAACTCAGCAAGACCTTGTCTCTAAATAAAATATTAAAAAGGGCTGAAGATGTGGCTCAGTGGTTAAGCGTCCCTGGGTTCAATCCCTGGTACTAAAAATAAAAAAGGAATCACTGAATCATGGATAAACTTGGTAAGCACTAGAGGTGTTTAGGCCCATTAAGTAAGCAAAGGTTGTAACACAAAATAGAAATATTAGAGGTGGTGTTCCTTCTTGTTTTAAGTGTGTCTGAATCCATGCAGGAGATTTCAAGTTTCCAAAAATTATATGTATATTTACATCTTCCTTCCCCTTAAGCACCCTAAAAATGTTGTCTATTTAATGAAACCCTAGGGTAAATCCTAAGAGCCGAGTTCTATGTTCATGACAATTTTGATATCCTAACTTATCTGTTTGCTAAACCTCCTCTCTGTTCAAGTTATCTGAGAGCAAAGGCATATTTGTGCCGTAATAATTTGATAATAGCTATTTCCTAAGATGCTTCCTCGGGGTCTACAATAAAGCTAACACCAAGGCCCAGTCTATGGGATATGAAACAACCAGTCAAAAGAAAATCAGTTAAGTCTGTTTTCCATTATCATGTAGATTTTTTTTCTTAATACAAACAAGAGTAATAAAATGCAGCTGTCCGATTTATTTCCTCTCTAACAAGTGGTGTTGGGTATATTATACACATATTATCACTTTTAAGGAAGAAATTCAATCAAATCAATTTTGGGCATTGGACAAAGTTAATAAATTGGCTGCAAGTTATATCTACCGTTGCTGCTGACACAGTGCAAGCCCAGGATATTGAGTACCTTAAGGAAATGAATGCTTGAAGTCCAAAGCAAATTATCTAAGACCAGAGGGCATAAACTTTCTATAACAGGCCAGACGCTTATCACTATACGCTTCATGTGATGTACTGTCTCTGTCACAACTATTCAGTACCGTCATCAAAGCAAAATAGCCTCGAATGAGATGCAAATAAAGAGGCATGTGTTCTAATAACTTTATTTACAAAAACAGGCAGTTGGCCTGATTTGACACCCAGGCCATATTTGCAGATCACCATTTAGACACTTGGAAAAATGTCACTAGATCCTAACACCCAAGAATATTTTTGATTGAGGCTTTTTATCTCTTCTAATCAAAGAGTAGAAAAGGACATACAAGAAGGAATTTGGTATAACCCTGATGACTCAAGATGGGCTTACCAGATGGAAGATGTCTGGTAGGGAAGGCAGTCACTGACCTGCTTATCAGAGAACTTGATATCACTTCGCCCATATTCTCTACTTTAGTTCTCACAAAAACTAATTAGAATCCCCATTTTCCAGATTTTTAAGAATATGAGAAGGTGAAATAATTCAGTTGATACCTACCTGTCAAATCCAGCCCTATCTCACTCCAAAACTCATTCTGGTTTTTTTTTTTTTTTTTTTCTGTTCCATGACTAGTTGGTGCAGATGTAAGTTCTATGCTATGTGGGACAGGCAGGCAGGGCCAAGTGCAGAACCAGAGAGAGAATCTGTGATTATCCAATTGGCCAGTCAAGTACATTTTTAATCCATAGTTGGGGCCTGAAGATCATTTCTCTGTGCCAGCAGTTCGGAGTATTGTCACGCTATTCTCGGATCTAGCAAAGCCTGTGTTCACATTTAGTCCACAAACAGGGGTCATGGACCAGGTAAGAAGGAGGCAACTTTTACAAAGTGAATGTTTTCTTAACCCTTTCCAGAACCCCAGGGCACAGTCATTTCACCTCATGCCTCCAGGGTGTTTTCTGAAAAAAGAAAGTGCCTTTTCAGCACTCTTGGTGTCTGATTTCAAACCCTGCCCTTCCATCGGTGATTCTAAGTGGGTTGATGATGCCGCCCTGTTTTTACTGGTTTTCCCACAGGGTTTAGTCATCCAGGTGCCCTCCCTGAGTACCACATACGTGGGTCCTGGTTGAGAGGATAGGTGCAGTGCACAGGGCCTTTCCTAGTTTTAAATTAAGACTCTAAAGGACAATTAAAGAGAACTATGGTGTGCATTCATTTGAACATGTGGAAAAGTTCACCCCCAATTTATTCCACTGAAGAGCTTACATGGAGTTTTTGCTATATCTGGCTAGCCCCCAAGGATATGAGCAAAAAGCATGCCCTTTGGCATCCCCTTTTAAAAAAAAAAAACACATACTTTTCATCTCTTGGAGAATATTAGAAAATAAAAAATGTAGTGTCTAACTGAGAAGAGAAAATATTACCTAGAGAAGTAACCCATCTCAGAGGCTGAAGCAGACAGAACCAAGCAGTTAGCATCATTTGCTAAGGATAGCTCTGCAAAAGGGGTATTGTTTTTACTTCCATTTTAAATATAAGAAACAAAAGAACTGAAAAAATGAGGGACTCACATAAAACCCAAATAATTCAGCTCAAAGTGAGAGGTCATATGGATGCTTAGAAAAGACATTAAGGCCCCCTTCCCTAACCCACAAAGCGCTCCCAATGGAATTGGCTGTCATTGCTTCTGGAAGGATAGGATATTTCTTTATCCTCTTTCTGGTCAAGTTGTACAACATCCAAAGTAAAATGTTCCTAATTATCTTGGAAGGAGTCCATAACTCTAAATCCAAATTAAAGTTCATTTCTTTTTATTAACAAAAATGCATCTCTCATAAAAAATGTTGAAGTCACTCCTTTGTGTCTTGCATTAACAAATTCCAACTCCAGAGAATTTACACAAGAAATAAAAACAAAAATTGGTTATAATGGGTCTGTAAGTCACATTTTAATTAATGAATTTATATTTTCAGAACTTCAAAGTATCCAATAGAATAGTCAATTATAAAATAAACTTCCTAATTTACCTTTTTCTGTAAATCTATATTCTCTTAGACTAAGTTTGCTCTGGAGGTTGGTATGCCTGAATTAATTGAAAGGCATTTTAAAGAACTAAGCACCTTTAAAAAGAATAGAGCAATTTTTTTGGTGACACTTCTTGCCTGAAGAAGTACAGAACTGGACTCCCATAAGCTTCATCTCTCAAGAGATTGTCTATTTACTTCATTTACCTCATAAAAGAAATATTGCAGATAATCTCTGTATGATTTCAATGATGAATAACACAAGTTCCTGTTTAGTCCACATAATGGAAAATAAAGTTCACAGTTGTTCCATCCAACTCCAGGGATAAAAATCAAGGTCAAAGAGACACCTCCTTCCTTTCCACACTGGGACATACTAGTCTTACCACAGAATGGGAAAAAGAACAAGAGGCCAGAGAGCAAAGCGAATAAAGACCCACTTCTCAAAATCAGTTTTCCACCCTGTGTCATTGCATTGACTTTCAGCAGAGAGCTAAAAAATTCAGATAGAAACAGGTCCCCCAAACTAAACAACGGGCTGAAGAGTATCTACCCATAAAAATAAAGCCCCTTATGTAAACAACTGTACCACTTTCCCTTCTGGCCCCAACCCCGTATCACATCTGGCTTTTGTTTTGTGAATCATAAACTGCCCTTTCCTCACCACAGTGATTCATGCACAGAAGCAGAGATATGATGAGCTGTCCTACCTTGGGACACTAGCTCATCCCCCTCACCCAGCCTGGAAAATCAGCATCACCTCTGACAGGTTGGTTTCTCCACCAGGCTCCATCTCGCCCACCCCCTTCCTTTCTGCTCCCCAGCTTGGAACCCAGGCCTTGTAGCCCCATCACCCTCACCTCCCCAACTCCAAGCCAAGGGTGATCTCCTGGCCCCTGACTGTGCTTACTTGGCTTTGACAGCCACAATCAAACCACTTACGTTTTTGCCAGAGCATGGCCTGTGACAGGATGTTGCCTTTTTTCTTTGAAGCAGACAGTTTGGCTTCTTTAATGTGAGACCTGGGTGTGCTTTCCTCCAGTGGAACCACTGCTTGCTCTGAGGCTGCTTCCTCGGCTTTTTAAAGGCCTGAGTTCCCGCTGCGTGGGGGCACGTCATCACATCCTCCCACCTGAGGCACGGGTGCACTTTTTCTTCAGCGACGCTGCCTGTCACCCCACTATGTGTGCATCCTCAGAGGCCCATTGGCTATAGAGAGTGCTTCACACCAGAACCAGCCAGCTGGGACTGAACAACCACAAAGCACAGGAGGCCGCAGCCATCTGCACAGAGCCACAGTGTGATGTCCCGCGTGTGAGAGTGTGAAGGTCTGTATGGGTGAGATGGTGTGAGTAACCACGTCAAGTCTTGAATCTCTTTCTTTGGAGGATCCCAAAAGAACCTCTGGAAAATGCTGGGTTTTCTCTGGTGCTTGTTCTGGGTTCCACCACCAGGACTTTGGCCAGACTCGGCCTGCCATGGGCGCCTGCTCAACGGGAAATGCGATTCCCAGGGGTCACTGATTCTCAACATGGGAGGAAGCACCTGTCCTCACTTCAAGCCTCACTAAACAACCTCCTCCTCCTTTAATATGGCTTTTCTGTTTATTCTACTTTGAAATGAAGTGGCCCCTCCCCTAGCCCCAGTCCCCACCAAAATGGCAAGCCTTAATTTTGTTTAAATATGGAGGACACTAGTTCTGATGATAGATATATCCACAGCAAAAGAGGCCAATTCAGGGAAGAAAGGAGAAGATGCCCACACTCCTTAAATGGAGCTGGTTTCTCAAGGGGGTTTTGTTGGCCCACTGAGAACAGGGCTTCTCTCCTAGTGCCCCCCACCTGATTAACAGGAAGCTTCTCAAAGGAGGAATAATGGGTTAAACACTTATATTGTATGGGTGTGAGCCACAAGGATCCTTCTCAGTTTGGAAGCCTTCTGTCACTGTGTATCTGAAATCCACAAGTTCAGGATCCAGTGACCCAATCAGTCTGGGGTCTAGCCCACTTGGCTAGGACCCCCTAGGGCAGGCCTGGGGCCCTGCAGCTCTGCAGGTCTGGTGCCTCAGAGCAATCTTGCATCGGACCCTCCCAATGTCATGGGTCAGATACAAAAAATTTTTTCTCCTTCTGCCTTCAGCCACAGAGCTGGGGGCATATAAAGCCCCTCCCAGTGTAGCTCTTGCCTTCCTCTCCAATGCATCTCCACTGCCCTCCTACCACTGACTCCCAGTGCCTTTCTAAAGCACTGCTGAATATCTGTGCAAACCCCTACTTTGACCCTCTGTCCTCTCTTGCTGGGTTCATCTCCCCTCTTTCATCTCCTCTCCCCATCTGAAAATCACCTCTTCGTTTTTCAAGATCCGGCTCAAATGTACCTTTTTTTTATAATTTTAAAAAAAAAAAAGTACTCTGACTCACCAAACCTCCTGGCCCAGAAAATATCCATCCATTTTTCTTAGCTGTTGAAGCATTTGGTCTGGTCACTAAATGAAGGAAAATGGTTGCATGCCCCTGTAGGTTCCTTAAGGAGGCTTCACATAGGACCTGGGCCATACTGACCTCTGAAAAAGCTTCACTTTATAAAGTTAAGAATGACTGTATCTAATGGGTTGTTTGTTTGAGGGCAGGTCTTAGAGGAGAAATGTTCACATAAACAACTCACTCACAAGAGAGTGAGGGCTGTCTCTCGGCTGAGTTTTGGGCCTCACCCAAAGCCTCTAACTGCAGGAGGATGGACAGCCTTGCAGTGAAGGTAGCAGGGTCATAAAGCACTGGGCCTCTTAGAAGCTTCCATTGCAAACAGTGGCACATCCATCATCAGGCTTGGCTCAGTCCCAAGAGACGTGGGTTTCCATGAAGGTTCTGCCATTCACTTCTGTGTCCCCTTAAACAAGTCACAAAACACTTTTAGTCTCAGTTTCCATGTTTATAAAATAAATAAGCAATTCTCTGAATGTCTCATAGATTCCTCGGAGGATGTGAACCCTGCTGGCCCTCTCTCACATTGATCGTATTTTGGCTCCTATTCTCTCCAAGTCCATGAAAACAAGAACTTCTTATTCATCTCTGTTTCTCCTCACAGGCCTAGCATAACAATTTTCATAAACTAATAAAAATAACTACTTACTGTGTTCAGGCTCCAAGTTCAGCCTTAAATACATTATCTAATCTAGTCTACACACAACAACTCATGAGGAAACTTCTATCTGTATTGTTTCAAGAAACAAGTGCTTAGGAAATTTAATTTGCACAGTGTCACAGGGCTACTACACTCTTGGGTAAATGACAGACTTAAGTTCATCTGATGACACCCACAGCTCTAAATAATTATACTAGTAGATATTCATTAAGTTGGAGTCAGTGAAGGGCAAATGGCAGTCATGTTTATTAGTATCAATGCAGGATCACTATGATTCAAACCTGGTGCACATCAATAGAAGCTTATACCCTCTGGGGTAAATCCCTACCCTCTAGAAACAGGGAGAAGGGGAGACCCAGAGATGCACCCATAAATCAGATTTTGTACACTGGCAGACACAGCCAAATAATAGAGGAAGGGAAAACTAATGGCTGGACACATAATAATGAAATTTTAAAATAACTAACACAAGGAGAAAACTCCAAAATTTTACTGAGAAAAGTATATTAACAACTAAGCATCAAGAATCAGAATAAAAGTACACTTCTCCATAGCAAAATCAGATGCAAACAGACAATGAAGAAGTATTTTTAAACTATTGAAGAAAAAGAACACTGAACCTGTAATTTTTAAATCCAGCCAAACTGCCATTCAAATATCGTAGCATAACAAAAATATCCTGAGACCTGCAAGGCCTCACATTAAAATTGCTCTTTGAGGAAGTATTCAAATGAAAAGAGCTACCTAGGAGGATGTTACAAGAAATATCAGAACAAAAGATCATGAAATATCTGGATCAAGCTTATTATAGGAATTTTCTTAAAACTGGAAACAAAAAGAGAAAATTTATCTATAATAACACAGAATATATTAAAAAAAATCTACATGCTTGCCACAAGTCCATTGGACATCATTTATATTATTTTCTACTTAATTTTGTGATATGAAGTTCTAAAGGAAATCAAAGGGGAATTTGATTTTACTAATGTTTTTGTTGTATAAAGAGGAAAATACAGATTGAATAATCTTTATCTGAAATTTTAGGATCAAAAGCATTTCAGATTTCAGACTTTTTAAAGATTTTGGAATATTTGCATATACATAGTGAGATATCTTGGGTAGAGACCCCCAAGTCTAAACACAAAATTCACTTATATTTCATTTACATCTCATATGCATAGCCTAAAACTAATTTTATACAATATTTTTAGCATATGCATGTTTTGACTGCAATCTGTCACATGGGGTCAGGTGTGAAATTTTTCACTGGTGGTGATAGGTAAACACTCAAAAGTCTCTAATTTTAGAGCATTTGGATTTGGCATTTTCAGATTAAGGATGCTTAACCTGGAGAGGAAATCAATGGCAGAAAATAAACGTGTGAGGGGCAACTGCCACTTCTGTTCTAACCATAAAAACAGAAATAGAATGTTTTATTTTTAAACCAGCAAAAGAAAACTGGACCTTTCTATGGAAAACAGAAAGGAAGTATTTTTAAAAATACAGTGAATGGAAAATAAAAATGAGATAACAGGATGAGTTCTAATATACAGTAATTATAAAAATATTAAAAGATTAAGTTTACCAATTAAAAGACACAGATTAATGGATTTAATTCAAATATTTTAAAAGATCCAATAATGTTAAGTTATAGTTCAATAAAACAAACTACAGAAAATTTGCAAATAAAAAATTAATGTAACCTTGATTCTAAAGCTCCATAAGGTCAATATAAGAAAATTATAGGCCATTTAATTTGTGAACATAGACTCAAGAATCCTAAATATTAGTTTGTAGAATACAATTCTGTATTAAGAAATAAAATTATATCATGAAATAATAATGATACATCAGAATACAGATTTCATGTAAGGAATGCAAGGATGGTTTACTCTTAGTATACCTATCAATATAATTCAACATACTGATGAACTGTAGGAGGAAAAATTAAGACATTATCTCAATCACTGTCTAAACATTTGATAAAGTCCAACATTTGTTTTTTAATGTTAGAAAAAAATTAGAAAATTTGGACTACAAGTACACTTCCTTAGCTTGGTAAAGCATATACCAAAAGTCTACAGAGATAATATACATATTGGAGAAATTGTAAACAAATTCCTTCAAAAAAAAAAAAACAAGTTGTCCTATTGCATTATGTTATTCATTTCCAAAAAGTTTTATCTACAATTTCCAAAAACACATGTATTAAACACAAAAAACATGTGAATTATATCATGTTATTGTGCCAAATATTATTCCAGACTTTGGGGATACAGCAATAAACAAACCAGAAATTGTTAGCAACATACAGACAGATAATTGGTGTTGGGTAGATAGAAAATCCAATTGACATTCTTCAACAAATGATTTGTCATCAATGCAGATATGGATACACTAAAGCATAGAAAAATTGATGGCCTACAGGCTTAACAATCCCTAGACACTGAAAAGAGTCTATGGCCAGACATTCAGTGCCATTTTTAAAGTCTGATGAATTTCTTGACCTTAGAAGTGGGAGAGAAGGGGAGTACCAGAGTGATTTTAAAGGGTACCCTTGAATTCCATATGCATATAAACATTTTCCTTGGCAGACAGTCCATAGAGTTCATGAACCACTGTTCATACCCAAGGTTAAGAACTACTGTTTATTTTAAAGAAGTTCTATGATATCAAATTTTGAAATATGAAAGAGAAATTGCTTAAATCTAGCTAGAACAATAATGGGCTCTGAGGTAAAATACGAAGTCCACAGGTAAAATATTAAATTCCATTGCTGTCTACAATAAATTTCTCACATTTCTTTACATACTGCATTAGTTAAGCCCATTTCTCATTTCTCCAGCAATTTTATAGCATTTTATTCTTCAGCATTTCATTCTTCCATCTAGGGGAATCAGGAAAATATAGTGAAGAGATTATTTAATTTACATTTGGAGAGCCTTGTTTGGAATCTGGCTGTACTGCAAATGTGAAGATTTGTGAGTTGTTTAGGTTCTCCTAGTTGTAGTTTATTCCTCTTCAAAATTGAAATAATAATTGTTGCAATGATTAGATACAATAGTGTGGAGTATTCTATATACATTAATTTTATTCTTTGGTTCAGACCAAGAGGCTACATAACTGAATTCCATTGAATATTTTTGTTCTCAAAATTCATGTATACTAGGGAATCCTTCAAGCTTTGCCAATTTCTGCTTTTCCAAGAAAAGGGCTGGCCCTACTACCTTTGCAGAAGAAGCATTGGGTTCAGACCACATCTCATCTTTTCAAGCTGCCAGCCACCATCTGCAAATATGGCTGACAGCTGCTTGGCAGGTCCTTATCTAAAAATGGCATAAATTATTGGATTTCCAGTTTTATCACACCTTACTTACTCATTATGACTAGGCATATGGAAGGGAAATCACACTGGTCTGATCAAATGGAGATTGAACCAACCCAATTGGACAGGATGGATGCCAGTGTTCGGAAGACAGGGTTTTATTACATGTAACAGCCTGGCTTCTGTGGCAGTCTAGAGGGTGTCCAATTCTCCTTATGGCTATTTTTGAATGCCCTTTGACACTAGGCAGATGGCTTCTAGTCACACTGACAAACTTCCATCAACCCAGGCATCTGGTAAATATCCATGTTCCATTACGCAGATGAGAAAAACAAGGACCAGGTGACTAAATTATTATCTATAGCCCAGTGCTGCTGTAAATTATCATGGAAAATAGTCAAGAAAGTCTGGTGGTTACTGGTAGAAAATAGCCTTTGCAAAAGGAAAGTCTCCAGACTGTTCTACCCACTTTGTGGTCCTTTCAAGACAGAAAGGCCATGTTCTGGTTTTGTTTGGTTTGGTTTGGTTTGGTTTTTCGTTGTTTTGTTGTTGTTGTTGGTTTTGTTTTTGTTTTGTTTGTTTGTTGTTGTTGTTGTTTTTATTTTTGCTGCAACATTGCTTGGTACCACCTACCACTGAATAATGGCCTTTATTTGATATTTTTGCCATATGATCAATAGTACCTTTCCCCACTCCCTGCACATTTGATGGCCACCTTTAAAAAATATCTTCCATGATATATATTTCCACTAATGCTTATTAAGCACAAACTCTGTGCTGGAAATTATGCTAATTACTAAGGCAAGGAAGACACAGTTCTCGTGGTCAAGCAAGTTATTAGTAGTGTTAAAAAAAACTGATTTTTTTTAAATAATGGAAAGTCCCAAAAGAATTCCTAGAAAGGGATTCCTTGGTTCCCATTCAAATTACTTGGAATGCTCATTATATAAAGAGATATTCATGGGCTCCACCCCAGCCCCCAGAAAATGACTCAATAGGTTTGGAGTGGTCCATAACTCTATTAGTTTTTAAAATTTTCAGGAGACACTGCTTTGATATTTAGGAAACACCAACCTAAACAATCAAAAACCGGCCCTTCCTTTTTTCTCAAGATTCCTTTTTCTATTTATCCTCTCTCATGCTTTCTTCATTGGAATGCCCCTAAAAAACCCTGATTAAGAAGAAAAACAAAAGCCTCCAACTTAAGCATAGCGTGGAGCATTCCTTTGTCTAGCTAAACACATAACCATCATTTCCCACACACTGGAGAGAGTTTGGCATCATGAACGCTCTGCTCCCAGAAACAATCCCATTCCCATAGTTGCCCTAAGAAATAGTGT